CAGATGCTGCTTGCGCCAATCCATGGCAGACGCACAACCTCGCACAGCTTTTTCTGGCACCTGTACAGCCCCCACAGGTGTTGACCGCCAAACTCTTCCGACCATTTTATCACAACAGTCCTTTTTCTTTGATCGCCTCATCCTGACAGACAATCAGTTTTGTGCAATCCACTGCACTTTTGCACACTGTGTTCCACAGTCCACAGAATTTATTTTGGAGCACTGTCTCTTTAAGGACTTGCTTTCTTCCTGCAGGCCTTGACTCACCTGCTTTACACAGCAAGCAATCTCAGAAACAGTTCACCACTTCTTGTCCAGAGACTCCAGTCTCTACACACTCTGCCCTTTCATGTCAGTTCTCTGCATTCTCAACTTCTTCCACTTTCCTGGGTCCTGTACCTTCAAGGCCTCTGTGAGAGCATGGCCGGTACAACAGAGTATCCCACTTCTGACACCACTTGTAACAAGGACACTCCACTGTAGTCCAGGTAAGTCAAGGAAACACAGTCTATTGAAAGGGCAAACACAAAATAGCTTGAAACAGCAACATAAGACAGTCTTTTAGCTTCGCTCGGTAGCTTTCCACATCTTCAAGACACTCACGCTTGCTCACCCCTCGTGAGCCCTCACTCTGCTCTCTTAGCAGTCTGTCCGACAGGTCCCTGGGGTCACCGACCTTCCTGACCTCTCCCAGCCACCCCTGGCTGTTCCGTGTGCGTCCAGCACGCACCCGAGTTTGTCTGTGTGCTCCCTGCACACACACACAACTCCAACACTCACCTGAGCACTGGGCTGGCTTTCTGATAAGGCTGCTCTCAGCCACCTGATTAGCCCAGACTGGTCATTGGCAACACCTGGCCCCAGGACTGGAGATCTCATCCCACCCAGAGCTCTACGAAATCTCCAGATCCCAGCTGCAAATAGGAAAACCTGGAATAACCTGAAAAGCCAGGTTCTTCCTTATACCATGCTTTACTTTCTGGACCCTCTCAGCCCCTTTGGCTGAGAGTCCTGGGTACCAAGGTCGCCATCCTCCACTGTGCATTGGCTTACACTGCCACAATATTTATATAGAGACTTGCCTATTTATGCATGAACATGGATATGCATGTTAATGCATGTGCATGGATATATATATATATCTGCACATATTTTGCATTAATGTGCATGAAAATGCATGTCCCTAGGCATGTATATGCATGTTGAGATACACATGCATATTCATGCACCCATAGGCCTGCTGATGAACATGCATATCCATGCTTGTTAATGCATGTGCGTGGCTATGCATATCCATGCATGTGCATCAACATGTATATATATATCTATATCTATAAATGAATTTATGCATGTAAAAATATGTATGTATATTTATCATGTTTTTTTTTTATTTCCATAATCATATACATAAATAATGGTCACTTTTTTGCCTTATTAGTTTATTCATAGACAAATACACATAGTGCTTTACTTGTAAATAATATCACCGCTCCTTTGTTAAAATATTCTAAATTTTTACGTTTGGACCATTAATGTGATGTTGCTAAATGGTTTAATTTTAAAATCTATATTAGGTGTGGAAAATAACATAGTAGCATTAACATTGCCCATTAGGCATGGTAGGCATATTGCCACATAATACTATATGAAAACACATAGAAGAAATCATACATACATATCCATAGCAACCTAGCATCAGATTGGTTTTTTTTTCAAAGGAATGTAAATTGACAGCAGGCGAAGATAAATTGAACAAAAAAAAATATTACTATCACTGGCCATTTCAACATAGTATAGTGTCCTGGAACCCTGAGAAACAAAGATAAATATCAGTGGCCACTTCTACACCCACGTATAGAATAAAAGAGAATGTTAAAAAATTAAAAACCACACAAAAAATGCTAAATCTGCATTTTACACCTATTGGGAAATAAGAACATTAGAAAAATACCTCTAAGTCATACTAAAGGAACAAGGACAAGACAAGGACAATGAAACCAACAAAACATTTTTGAACCAAAGTCACATCAGATAAGACCAAGATTTAATAATACATTTCAGAAAAATCCTAGCTAATAACTCAGTTTAGGAGAGTGTCCTTTGCACATACATGTCAATCTGCATTTGAGAAAACTAGCCATAAACCAGTGTGAGCCTTATGTAAAGATAGTTGGAGGCGTGTTCAACAGTTTCATGCCAAACCAGCATGTGAAAAACAGGTACGTATTAACCCGTCGCATGCACTAGAGTCAGGAAAAAGGTGTTTGATGTTACTCTTCCTTTTTCCCTAGAGTGACATTGGAGGCTATTCACAGTGCATGGTTATGGTACTGAGAGTCAGTCTGGATTTACACAGCCATATACTGCCATCAAACACTGTCATGGGTCCCTATATGTCATAATTTAGTTAGTTTAATACTTAGTAAACTTTAGTACTTCAGTAAAAAACACATTTTCTTAGGGATACATCACTGGGTTGCGTTATGGTGGACAATACTCACAACCAGGGATATTATGTTTGGCCATTTTTTCTTAGACATTGAATAAATACAGCCCTAACCCTAAGCTCTCAACTTGTAATATATCACTAAGCTATGTGTTATTGTCCTGCTATCCCTGCCAACTGTATGACTGTACTTGTGTTCTTTGATCTTCTTTTATGTTTTTACTGACAAAATGTAATTTAAAAAAATATTTAATTCCCATAATGAGCTAACTCATGATTCTAAGAAATCAGACTAGTTTTCCATGCACGTTTAGATCCAGTTTTGTTTTTTTTCTTGCAGGCCTAAAAGTACCAAGCATCAGAAACTGTTTTACTTAATATTGAAATATACCGTATAATGTGTGTATTGTCATACCAGGCTTAATATGTATTCAATTGTCTGGAGATTTACTGTTTTGCAGTTGACTAAAGCTGAAACTTGTGTTTAGTGACCACACAAAAAAGTATAGCTCCCCCACGGCTCAGGAAAGGAATGAGCCAGGTGCTTGCTGCTGGGAGCACGTCCTCGCTCCAAAATGAGCCCATAAAAACAGAAAAAGAAAAGAGTGGGTGAAACGCATCAGAGGGGGTGGACCCTGGGTGGGATACCAGTATTATGGTACAAGTTTTGATAAACTATCCCAGCAGAATCTGATGTGCGGCCAGCTTTTAAAAAAAATATTTTGTGTTCATTGAAGTAATTTAAATATTTACAGCAGCATAAAATATTTAATTATAAAGTACTACTGTCCTCTAAGTAATCATTTTTAATGGCATGCTGTAATTTTGGTCATGGCTGCATTGTTCAGGGCCCTCTTTATGATGAAAATATAAAAACTAGCAAGGTTCCTAGATGGCACATTGTATCAAAAAAAGCTTTTTGAAACATACCTAACCAAACTATCAGGTCCAAATATCTTAATGCACAGCAAAAAGATTGGTGGTTTTATAATGTCAACAGAAATGTTGTTTTTTTATGATTATAAAAGTGGTAGGAATTTTTGTTGGCAACATTTAAATTATGTTGGTTGCATAATTCAACACAATGCAGATGTTGTTGCAAATATACTGTATATTGAAACCATGCACTGCTATTATAATACCTGCTTTATCTGCCTTGTTTTGCTTTACTGTTTACTGTACTTAACAGTATATCTCTAAAAAATGTTCTTGAGCATATATAGTTAAGCTCAACAAAATCCAGCTTCTTTGCAGAGAAGATCCAATAACCTTAGTAAAACCGGCATCCTTTTTTTCTGAAGGATATCATGATTTTTTTTATTTTCTCTTTCTCATGCTCAGTGCATTGAAAAATCATGGTATGTCTTCAAAATATAATAGTCTTTCTTATGACTTCCTACTGTTCAACCAAATAGCTTTTGCCGTTTCCAACTCTCTTCCACTGCTTGGAGTTGATTCTAAATGTCAAGGTCTAATATATTCTGTAATCTGCTTGCTTCTTGCATGTATATATCAAAGTTAATTTATCAACTAACAACTAAAGACAGCAAAGACAGAGTATGCCAATTATCTGTTTTTTTTTAAATATTTATATAGTGTTTGACATGCTTAGTAATAGGCAGTATAATATACAAATAAAAAGTATGGTTTATTTGTATTTTAGGGTATGAAGTCTAGTGTTACTTTTTGGATGTAGATTACTGGTAGTGCCATCTATTGCTCCCCCTTCACAAAATCTAAATTATTTATAAATATATAACACATGTTTTTTTTGCTTAGAAAAAACATGTGATTCTTAGATATTTTATATATATATATATATGAATTGCTTACACTTACTAGATGATGAAAGCCCCAAATGGAATATGAATTTCAAAGTAAGCTGAAATGAGCTGAATGCGTATGATAGCGTTATATTAATTATATACTCTTTTGGACTTCAATCTCTCATTTTTTTCTTTAGTTAACGCCAGTTGGAACCACAATTTTTAATGGATTTGCGGGTAAAGGTGCTGAAGACATAGATGATGGTCCTAATGGCCAGATTGAATATTTTATCAAATTCAACCCAAATGACACAGTAAGTATACTTGTTTATGTTGCATCTTCTAACCTTTTTCAGTAAGTAAAAAATATTATTTCAGATTACGTCATAGGTTTCTCTGCAGCCAGAAAAAAAGTGATAATAGCTATCCTTGTTCATTGTTTGTCAGATAGACAGCATACAGGAAACCAGAGATTGCAGTTAATAATCTTTGGGCATAGTATGAAACATTGGTGGAATAGATTGGTAGTGTTCAGGCTACAGCAATCAAACTTAAAACTGAATACAAATATGTTTTTCATCTACCGTATATACTCGAGTATAAGCCGAGATTTTCAGCCCATTTTTTTGGGTGAAAAGTGCCCCCCTCGGCTTATACACGAGTCAGCGCCAGCGCGTCATCTTACTTACCTCGCTGAGCGTTGTGTCATTGCTGCTCCGGTGTGCGGCGCTCCGAGCGGGGTCATCTGGCAGTCTCTGGGTCCTAATTTAGGTGGCCGGAGACTGCCAGATGATCCCGCTCGG